CATATATAGTGCATTGTTTTTCGGCACTACCTTGTTCTCTATAGCTGATGTAACATGAATTGCTCCTGTGTGGGATCAATAAAGTTCTTATCTTAGCCATCTGAGAAGATCAAACACATTGTTTTGGTGCCTAACTGTTTCCCAAGTATATTAGTGTATGTGTGAATGAATAAACGAGAGGCATTAACGTAAATTTCTTTGTAGAAAGGCGCTTTATGAAATTAAGTCCATGCACTTCTAATAGTTTACAGCGCAGCCTTGCCACATCCAATATGGCGGCGACGTTGACGTATCGCAGCAGCGGGCAAACCCACTTGATGCGGCGTCTACGTATATATGTCTACGGTCCCCAAGCCCACTTTTGGAAGAACAGTTGATTAGACGCATGCATGTCAAATAAAACAGTTAATTATCTAACAGCACATTTGCAACCCGTGTCTTATATTTCTGAGTTCGTCATGAGGTGAATTAATTTAGAGTAAAAGTGCTTAAAGGCATAGTTTGACATTTTGGGTGTGACGTTACGTAGTGAAGGGGGAACGATGGTTCTGAAGCGCTGATATTATTTATCGTGGGTTTTTTTGTTTGTTTTTTGGTTTTTGTCTCTTCTTTTATGAACAGTATATAATTATTCATATTCATAAATCAAAAATTTCCAATCACAAACCTTTCTTTTTATTTTTTTAAATAAACTCAACCAATACATTACATCAATTCTATTTTCAAAATATTAAAGTATTATTATAAAACCAAAAAGCAATTTCTACCCTCAGCGCACTTTACTTTACTTGCCCTGTTTTCTGCAATTGTGTGATCATAAGTGCATTGACTTTTTACAATTTTTTACTGATGGTTATCCACAGATGCAACAGACTGCACAGTTGTGATTCCCATTTACCAGGTGGAAATTAGTAAAAGAACATCACATAATTTGAATGTATATATTTGTTTTCTTCTTTTTTTTGCAAAGACATCACTCAGGCCAGATTTTGTCTTAACATCTGACTCCACAAAGGAAGTAGTGCTGCTGGAACTTACAGTCCCCTGGGAAGACTGGATGAGTGAAAGAAGGCCAAAAACCTTGAGCTGTAAAAGGCCTGTAGAGTGGGTGGTAGGAGGGCCCACTGTGAGCCAGTCGAGGTGGGCTGCAGGAGTTTCCCAGGGCAATCTGTGCACCAGGCACTCAGGTTCCTTGGCATCAGAGGGTTGCAGGAGAGGAAAGTCACCAGAAACATCAGAGAGGCAGTAGAAAAAGCCTCAAGGTGGTGATCAAGAGGGCAGATCCATGGTGTAGTGCGCTGCTTGGACACAAGCCGGGGACTGATCACCCCTGGCTGGGTCACCCAGGTGAGGATGTCTGATGATCAAAGACCTGAAACACCCTATGACTGATGATGTGTCCAAGCCAAGTTAAGGGGAACATAACACATTTATGTAGGTCCAAGTACATTCACTTATGGAAATGAAGAAGCAGACAAATTGGTAAAAGAAACATTTGAAATCTGACTTTAACTGTAAATACCTTTTCTAAACTGGATCTGTCTGAATGTATTTTTATCACAGCAGACATGTTGACTTGTCACAGCAGGAAAAGCACAGGTGTTAATAAGAACATGATGACTCTGTTGTATTTAAGTGTCCCAGTAAGCCATGACAGTGTGACAGTGAGCCAGCATGTACGATACCATAAACCTGACCAACTATAGTAATGAAGAGGACTTTGACAACATTAAAAGCTAAACAAGAAAATCCCCTGTCTGGTAATGCGTGGTTGAATTTAGCAAAGTTGATTACATTTCCCATTTTTCCTGTCTTTATCTGCAAAATGTACAATTAAAAAACAGTTAAAATATGACACGACAAGACATAGAACAATGGGCAGGATATGACAACAAACAAAATCAGAATAACATAACAATCAAAATGTGTTATAGCCCACTCATAAAAAGAAAATGTCCTACAAGATCATATAATTAAAATTGTTTAATAGATTAAAAAGGAAAGGCTATAATTAAAATAGAATAAATGTGTATGAGAGACTTCCTCATGACAGATATATGTTTACATTATTTTCTTATGTAATATAGATAAAATATAAGTAATAATCAAATACTATATAATACATATATGACACTATTATGTAAAATACAAACGATATTTACTACTTAACATACATGGTATTCAAAATTAATATGGTTTAAAGATAAATTATTATATCATATTATATTATATATTTGTATACGAAATAAATTAAAATATACATAAAATAATGTAAGTGTTTGTATGTTTTTACGTATCTTAAAAGGTGATGGAAAATGACGTACAAAATAATGCTGAGGCTGTATATTTTAACACTGATCCTGAGTCAGAATCCTAATTTTTAAAACTATAAAGCCTAATCCTGGCGAGCGGCTCTGACATCTGACTCCAGATCTGCGCTTGAGTCCACGTAATCACGGCCCAAGCCTCGCGGTATTTAGCCTACCCAGAATGCCTCGGTCTTCCTTTCTGCCTGAACCGACATGGTGGGTGCATAGCCTATTCTTTAGCAGAAATATTACAGCTGTTGTATCTGTTTCCATCTCTGTATGTATGTTTGATCTCACATTGTAGAATGTAACTATGACTTCTGTACAGCCTGTTCGTTAATATAATGTAGATATTGAGTGTGGATGTTGTGTTATTTTGGGGTAAAACTTGGTAAAGTTAACCCTGGTGTAGCCGGTATGAGTAGCACCATGTCTGCCCGTAAGAAGCTAATGCTAACGGTGGTGAACACGCTGGATTTCAGGAGCATTATAGCTCTAATAGTTTGTTTTCTGCATAGCTGTTAACTGCCAGAACGTGTCTGGTAATTTAATTTTAAATAGTGACCAAGGGAAGGTTAACTGGACTTGTAATGTGATGTGGGATACAAGTATGTCCCGGTGGTTACCCGGTAGTGCTAAGTGAATGGGCCCGAGCGTTGCTTCTGTTTGTTTAACGTTAAGGTTGGCAGCCATGTCTTAAATCTAGCCCATGATTTTAGTGACTTTATAGTTATCTAAAGTGAGAATGTCTTGGTTTGTTAATTAGAGCTTCAGTGGTAGCAGCTAAAGTAGCTAGCTAAAGTAATAGCATTGTCTCTAACTCCGGCTGTCTGGCATGCTAACGCAGTGTATACAGGTGGAGATGGAGATTTGGCTAGCTCTCCTCACTGTAGTACTTAGTAGCGTTAGCGTTAAGTTTGTGCCCATACTGTATTGACAAGTAGCTGGTTGAGATTGTAATGCTGAAGTATGTGTCATGGAAATAGTTTTAGGAAAATGAATTGACAGGGCAAAGTTGCATGCTAAGTAATGGGTGCTAAAGCCCATACATGCTGGTTAATTGGAGCAGTGCACGTAGCATTCATGTTAAATTTAGATTTAAATCTTAACACAAGAGCCTCGCATATCTACCTTTTTTGGACACTGCATTTAAGATGTATTGGTCTTTATAGCAGTGATGCTGTGCACTTAACTTGAGGCATAGCTTTAGATTGAAACCTACAATTAGACTTTAAATTTTCTTGTCAAAGGTAAGTTTTATAGTTTTTGCCTTCATATTGAAAGAATTGATTTGCACTTTAAAGGAATTGTAACTAACGATTTGGTATAAGTTCAACACCATGACTTGACCCATTTTCTTAATTGGCCTGAATGCAGTGATGACCTGAATTTCTTCACCTGAAACTTGCCTTGATGCTTTTTGAGCTTTTTAACCCTGAGCATTGGCCAAAATACTCAAGGAATTGTTCTCGCAGAGAGTGAATTCATGAATGCATCCTAACACTGTTTTCTTCTTGACAGCCTAAGGGAAAGAAGGCTAAGGGGAAGAAGGTGGCACCTGCCCCTTCTGTGGCCAAGAAACATGAGGCCAAAAAAGTAATCAACCCCCTCTTTGAGAAGAGGCCAAAGAACTTTGGCATCGGTGAGTAGCTATGGCGGGAATTTTGGGAGAACTTAGGATTGAGCAGTGCAGATGATGTAATGAATATTTGCTATCTTAACAGCATTGACGACAAATCTTATCACCAAGATCGCTGATGCACTTTAAATTAAAGAAAATAATACAGGTTTTGTCTGTTTGAGATATGAAACGTGTTATCTCTTTTTACAGGCCAGGATATTCAGCCCAAGCGTGATTTGACACGCTTCGTGAAATGGCCTCGTTATATCCGCCTGCAGAGGCAGCGCTCCATCCTCTACAAGCGTCTGAAGGTCCCCCCTGCGATCAACCAGTTCACCCAGGCTCTGGACCGCCAGACTGGTATGTTTCTAGAGTTTTGGGCATTTCATGTTGGATCCCTGGTGCTTTGTATGTGGCGTTTCTGGAATGGCTTATGGAACCTAAATTGTGCCATAGTGACTCTGCAGATGATGTGACATTTTTGCTCTGAAAGTCTGTGTTGACATTTTCTCCAAGACCGCTGATGCAGTTACTTGAAATACTGTCCACTTCCCATTTGGAGAACAAACCACGCTTGTAGCCAGTGTTGGATGGTGGAATTTAGATTTATAATGCACTTTATGTTCCTCCTCAGCCACACAGCTGTTCAAGCTGGCCCACAAGTACAGGCCAGAGACCAAGCAGGAGAAGAAGCAGAGGCTGCTGGCCCGCGCTGAGCAGAAGGCAGCTGGAAAGGGAGATACCCCAACCAAGAGGCCCCCTGTCCTCCGTGCAGGTGAGGTACACAGAAGAACAAATGAAGAGTTGCATTACATGTAATTGACGGGTAACATTGTAGCTTGAATTGTCCCACCTAAAGCGTCAGTGAGGCTGCAGACTTTTATAAAGTCTTGTTGGTCCGGCTGTGTTGAACAATGTTTATCAAAGTTGATTTATTAGTGTGACCCGTCTTGCGAAGTCTTGTCTTACTTGGCTTGGATGCAGTGATGTCATGAATTTCTTCACCTGAAACATGCCTTGATGCTTTATGAGCTTTTTAACCCTGAGCATTGGCCAAAATATAAAGGCGATATTTTTGTGAAGGTGTTTTATGGGTGGAAGCTAATTTTTATACCCCTGTTTCTCTGCAGGTGTGAACACTGTCACTTCTCTGGTGGAGAGCAAGAAAGCCCAGCTGGTCATCATTGCCCACGATGTGGATCCAATTGAGGTAAGCTTGTCATACATTATTTTAGTAGCAGTGCAACATGCCATACTAGGAGTTGAGTCTTGAAAGTGGTCTCTGGCAATGATGTTTGAATTTCTTCACCTGAATCCTCTGTGTGGATCAAAACTTACGAGCTTTTTAACCCTGAGCAGAGACCACTAACCAAGAATTCATGTTTTGACCACAACATTTATTGTGGACAGTACAGTTTTTGGTCAGATTCAACAATTTTTTTTCCTCCAACATTACCCAAATGTAATAATTTTCTCCTAACATGCTAACATTTTCTCCTGTGGCTCTCCTGCTTTTCTAGCTCGTCGTCTTCCTGCCAGCTCTGTGCCGCAAGATGGGCGTCCCATACTGCATCGTCAAGGGCAAGGCTAGACTGGGCAGACTGGTGCACAGAAAGACATGCACTTCAGTTGCTTTCACACAGATTAACCCGTAAGTGTCTGCATAGACTGAGCTGTGACCTTTTAATTTGACACAATATTCTAATGTATTTTGCTAGTTCATTGACTAGTAAAATGGCAATAGTGTAGTGACCTTAACATCAATGCACATTGTGAAATTCTCAATCTCTTTAAAAGTAATAAGAGGTAATTTTCTGCAGCAGTGTTTCCCCACAATAATCACACTGTTTGTGTAACTGATGCACATACTAAATGTAGTGGGAAATTTGCTAGATTTTCAAAGAGGGCAGTTTTGGTGTTAAAAATATTGGTGTATTCCAAGTACTTGAAACAAATACTTTCTGCAGCATGGATACAACAGTACAAACTGGGCTTTTCTTGCTCTCTTTTATTTACTATAGTCATTCTGCTGTTGTCTGCTACATACCATGAAAAGAAAAAAATCAGCATTATTGACATGTTACAGCCTTGCTGTAATCTCATGAAAATATACATTTTGTGCCGACAGCATCAGTTTTCACCATGTTATCAATTACTTATATTTTTCATGGCTCTGTATCATAGTTAGAAAATCCAGTTCAGTGACAACACTTGTTGCGCATTCTGCTAGGTTAGTCATGATGCATTAATCATGATTACAATGCTGTGGATCAAACAGGGCATAACACCAAATTCGTGATAAGGGTTAAGGTTGTGGTCTTTCTGGAACCAATAGATAAGTATACAAATGCATTAAAGTGGATATGATTTTGTTAATGATGCCTTGTTGCTCCATCTCTATAATCGTGTCAGCACTGTATTAACTAGCTTTGTTCCTTTCTAGTGAGGATAAAGGTGCACTTGCCAAGCTCGTGGAAGCCATCAAGACCAACTACAATGACAGATATGAAGAGGTGAGCGTTTATTTGAATTTACTTAAGTATCTTCAAATGAGTAAATTGCATGTTTAGGGTGCCTGATGGCGTAGTTGGTATAGCAGTGTCCCATATATGACGGCAGTGTCCTTGCTGCTGTGGCCGCAGGTTCATTTCCAGCCTGCAGCCCTTTGTCCTTTGCTTTGTCACGCCCCCTTTCCCCCACTTTTCATGCTTAGACTCCTATCCAAAAATCTTTGAAATTACATGCTCATTTCAAATTGCACCATATTAACTCTTTATATTCTTGTTTTACAGATCCGTCGTCACTGGGGAGGTGGTATTATGGGCCCGAAATCAACAGCCCGCATCACTAAGCTGGAGAAGGCAAAGGCCAAGGAACTGGCAACCAAGCTTGGTTAAATTGTTTGGAATAAAAAATGTATGTCCTAAAAACAGAATTGGTTTCATTATTGTCTCAGCTACATGTATGGTATATTGGTAGCAAAATGCAACTGTAGATAAATTTACAACACAGTATGAATTTGGCTGTCCAGTTAAATCTATATAAGTTAATCTCACTGTAGAAGGGGATGAAGAGTAAATATGTGTGTATGGCAGTGGGTGACATGATTGGTTTATCTAAATTTAGAAATGGTTGAGTAGGGGAGAGTGCATGATCATTTTGCAAAGGAGGAACTCCTGGCAAAGGCAGTAACCGAGCTGATGGGTTTGTAACATTGGTTTGAAAAGAAATATCAATTAAACCAGTTTTATGGAGATACCAAATTTTGGGAGAGCTGAAATCCGTAGCCTGTTTCCTTTAGAGGTGGAAATCTGAGATGGTATGTCCAAATTACTATTTGTGAATTTGAGGCTTGAGCACCTACGGTTTAAAAGTCACCATTAGTGTACAAGACATCACTGCAGCTCATCTTTTATTTTCACTTTAAAAACCAACTAGCTCAAATTAATAGGTCCATGAGGAAGTGAAATATTCTGCGAAACACTGATTCTATTTCAAGGAGATGTTTTATCTGAGTGTCCATCAGTTTATGGTACAATAGTTGTCGATCTGTATGTAAGCACAGAAGAATGCAAGAGCATAATTAATTAGGCCAGTAATTTATTCTCATACATGTTTAAGAAGAATAATCCACAACTATTTACATTTGTCTGGATGTATGCAGCAGATGAGCTCATACAGCACAAATCATGTACATCAGGATTACAACATATCAGTCTTCATTTGTGATATAAGTTCACTGCATTTAATCATCACAATTTAATCTTCTTGATGAACTTTGCATACCACATGTAGGTCGTCGCTACACACAAGCCATACCTGAGAGAAAGAAGATGATTGACCAAGTTAAATAAATGAATAAAACAACAGGACAGTGGGTTATTTACAGTACAACAGAAAACAAGATTTAGTTCATCCACCTACCATGTAATTATATACTGCATGTGTTCGTTCCTGAGTGTGACTCTGGTCTGTCCACCTATTGGTCCACCAGGAATGGTGCTCCCTACATGATCATTAATAATTCATGTTAATAAATAAAATCTTTATTTCTGCAAGTGGGATATATTGTTCTTTTCTCACCTGTAGAACAATTACTACCAATATGAGCCAATTATATATTAAATCTGATGGTCACTATGATGTAGTTGATTTAAAAAGCATCATGGACCCCTGCAGTTCCTGAGACCTTACCGAAGTCTGCATCAATGAAGATGGGCTCAGCTCCTGTGACACTGGCCATGGCCTCCAGGTCACGGAAATGCCAGCGGTTTCTTTCCACGTCATTGTTGGGCACAAAGGGTTTACGAGTCTCCGTCAGCCGAACTATCCCGACCACATCCATCTCCCCCTCCACCTGCACAGAAGAAGCATTACTTTATGTTAAATAACTCTGAACAGGCTGCCAAGGAATACATTTAAATATCACTACGGGACAATTACAGTACCACCATTACCTTTCATATTAATGGTGATATTTGTGGTTTTTTGAGGTTCATTGTAGCTGTGACATTACACAGGAATCCCAGTACCACTAAAACAATTTGACGAGTGCAGTAAATCAGCTATGTTTACCAAAAGTGTCTGCGGTTGTGTTAAAGGGAAGCTCCACCGATTTGACACATAAGTCTTCATACTTCTTGCTGCATGAAATTGGATATTGCCTCAAGTAATAGCACTTGAGTCAGCATTGGTTACAACTAAAACCTGGGGGTGCTGACCTAAGAAAGAATTCAGTTTACAAGACCTCTGAAGCCTTTTGAGGCAAGTGGGTAGAGGTTACATTAGCTGCATTATATTGTGGTAATGCAGACATCAGGTTTTGACAAGACCAGACTGTCTTTCATGAGTGCCACAGTGTTATAAGAGTGCAATGCTAAATTACTGGAGTGCTCCTTTAATAAAAATTTACTCATGTATCATCATCTGAGATACCAACCTGCCCCTTCGTCCTGGTCTCTGGTCTTATCTTCTGCTTAGGCACGTATCCTCTGTTCACCAGGATTGTGATGCTGCAGGAGAAGGACACAAAGATCAGTGGGTGATAGGTGTAACATGATTACTCAGTATTTGAACCACAGGGTGGTTTATCTGTCATCTTACCCCAGGTCAGTACAGTGGAATGGAGTGATGACATTTGCGCCGGTCTCTCCACTTGAAGACAACCTGCCCGCCTCTCTGGCCTCTTTCTCTGGGTCGACTGGTGAGCGGGGCAGAACGTACAGCTCCTTTGAGTGGTCATACCATCCGCGCACTTTGACCCTTCTGTACTCGAGGCTATTCAGCTCAAGAGGACTAGGATCCAAGAAGACAGATGTAAACAGATTAACAGGTAACACATGTAGATTTTGGGGGAACAAGGCCAAGTGGCATTTACTGTTAGCCATATGCAATAGGTAAAAATCTATAATCCTAAGTGTGTTCGAGAATATCAGTAAAAGTATCTAACATGTACTTACTCAAGAGGGAGAGGAATGGGCTCTGCAGTAGTGAGTCCTTTCAGCTCATTAATCAGCTGTATCTTCCACTGACGCCGTTTCACCTTCACAGAAACAAAGTATCTCGAGTCCATCCAACAACAACAAACCCGACACGTCATAAAACATCAGCTCTATTTTTAAAAATGTGAGAACACACAGTAAAATAGGCTGTACCTGCCATGTACCCAGGCCAAAGGTGGTGAAGGGGATGAGCAGCAGGAACCATTTGAGGAAGGAGTCTTCTCCACTCTCTGCTCCGGCTGCTGTGGAGCTGGACTGTCGCCCGAAGGTGATGAACTTGCCTGGGTATTCAAAATACACAGGACAGGACAAATGTTATTCAGCTCAGCATTACATGACAAAGGTTAAACCTGATATTGATGTAAAATGGTAATTTTGTGAGTTTGAAACAGTGTTGCTTTTATACAACATTTATTTGGCTGTTTTGAAATGTAACCAAGTACATTTACTCAAGTACTGCACTTCAGGTACCTGTACTTGAGTATATCCATTTTAAGCTACCCTACATTTACTTGACAGGAGCAATGCACAATATTGGATTTGAATATCCAATATGCTGATATGTAACACCTTATTTGACCAATAACCCATACTGATATAGATATATCCACTTTTTTCCGCACCAAAATTTCAGTGATCATCATGTCTCTTTTGTAGTGGAATTAACATCATATAATGCAGGCATACTCTTGTCGTGATGGCCCACCAGCAGATGGAGACATGAAACACAATACTTTCCAATGTATATATTTATTCATTGTGCAAAATAAGAAAAAGCATGTTGGTCGATTCTGATAGTTCATTTAAAGCAAACATTGAAATTATCGTGCATCCCTATTTGCCAGCTTTAGTTACTGCAGAATCACATTACTAATACAAAATATAAATCAACTAATAAATTATGGTGTATTATGATAGAGTAAGTTACACAACAGTATATAGGGTGGTTAAAATTAGCTCCGACTGCAACATTCAAATGATTTACACATAAAAGCATCAATAATTATGATCTAGTAATATAACTATCTAAAGTAGCAAGCAAGCAAAACTTTATTTGTATAGCACAATTCATTCCAGGGGCGGCACGGTGGTGTGGTGGTTAGCACTCTCGCCTCACAGCAAGAGGGTTGCCGGTTTTATCTCGGGCTTGGGAGCCCTTCTGTGCGGAGTTTGCATGTTCTCCCCATGTCAGCGTGGGTTCTCTCCGGGCACTCCGGCTTCCTCCCACAGTCCAAAGACATGCAGATTGGGGACTAGGTTAATTGATAACTCTAAATTGTCCGTAGGTGTGAATGTGAGTGTGAATGGCTGTTTGTCTCTATGTGTCAGCCCTGCGATAGTCTGGCGACCTGTCCAGGGTGTACCCTGCCTTTCGCCCGATGTCAGCTGGGATAGGCTCCAGCCCCCCCGCGACCCTCAAGAGGATGAAGCGGTTAGAAGATGAACGAATGAATTCATTCATTCCAGGCGGAAACACAATGTGCTTCAAAGAGCATATGCCACCATAGAGGTTGCAGTTAAAAAGTGTACAATGTGCATGAGCACATAAGTAAGCACAGTTAAAAATAATAATAATAATAATAATAATAATAATAATAATAATAATAATAATAATAACAATAAATGTGATTTAAAAAGCCCACCAAAAGTGGAGATAAAATGAAAAAATAAATAAATAAATAAAATCATCAATCATTAAAATAATGTTAAGCCAATAAGTTTAAAACATTAAAACCATAAAAGTCAAAATAAAAATAATAAAAAACAATTATGATTAAGACATAAGTAAAAAACATAAACTACACATAAAAATAATAAAAACCAGAATACTGAAAGGCATGGCTAAAAAGGAATGTTTTGAGTTTTGATTTAAAAGATAGAAATGTTGGAGCACACTTAATAGGACTGGGTAGGCTGTTTCATAGTCTAGGAGCGTAGGAGATAAACGCAGCCTCACCAATTTTCGTGGAGACCCTGGGAGTAACCAGACGGCGTGTCCCAGGTGACCTGAGGGGTCTACCTGGCTCATAAAATAAAAGCAAGTGGGTCTTTCTGCATAATTAATTATTTTACTGTGGGTATTTTGATGCCAATACTTTTATATTTTTACTTTAGTAAAAGATCTTTATACTTACTCCACCACTGGTTTTAGATGTTTGTTTGTTATTTTTGTTTGTCTACAATTATTGTATGATTGGTAGGACAAGAGTATTTGCTTATTTAGTTTTTATTTTATATTGTTATCTAATTTTAATTTTATCTCATTTTAATTTTATCGTTTGTAAGTAATTCATACATTTATTTTATTTTATTTTATTTATGTGAATGTGTGAGTGTGTATTTTCTTGAGTTGTTCAAAAAAAGTAAAAAGTGGAAACTGGAGTCCGGTGTCGTCATTATTCAATTGTTTACAGTGAGCAAATTAGCGTTGCAGCGATATACCAGTTTTAAGGTATACTGTGACATAAAGGTTGATGATTATCATACTGTGCACATTTGCTTATTTACGATATTGAAACAAAAAAAAAAATGCAACTTCTTATCTAATCTTATTTTACATGTTTTCTAAGGGGAGACTTTCCACACATTAACAAAATGGTGTCAAGTTTCAGTTATAGTGATAAAACTTTTAACCAACAATAACCCTTTCATTTTCTTTTAGGGTCATTCTAACTGATGACAATGATAATTCAGTAATACCGTGATACCGTTAAACTGCGATATATTCTGAGACAGTTATCTTAACGTGAAAATCCCATAACGTTGCATCCCTAGAGCAATATTTTTTAATTAAATTTATTTATTTATTTTTTTACCTTTAGCACCTTTGAAGAGTGGCAGTCTGGTCAGGAGGAGAGTCCTCTTGATGTAAACGACATGCGTCTGAAATAACAGAAACAAGCTCAGAAATCTGCCACCAGTGAGAAGTGACTTTCAACAGACTCTGTGAAGTTTAGGATGTAAAGACGCAGATGTGAAACAAATAACTCACCTGTTTTTTGAGTGTCGTTAGCACCCTGGTGGAATAAGCCAGCGCTGATTTCAGAGCAGCCATGTTGAGTCAAAACATTAATGAAAAGGTAAAAGTTAGATAATCCACCGAGTACATGACAGCTACATAACTGCTCAACCGGGGGACTTCTTCTGGTGTTACTACATCCGGTTTAGTGACGCCCCGCCCTTCATGTTACCCACGTGTGTCCAGAAATGTGTTGATATTTCTGTTAGTACACTGCTGTTTTTATGTGTGTGATTTAGCCGCAGTAAAAGGTGACGGCTCGGTTCTTCTGTCGACATGGACCTCGCCTCTAGAGACTCGTACATTCAGAAGCTCGCAAGTAAAGTGTTGTCTCAGCGAGACCAGGAGCCCAAGAAGAGACCGTTTGGTAATGTTAGCTCACTGCTTTAGCTCATTTACACCTTATTCTGGATCATTATTCTGTTCTGTGACTGCATATGTTATGTGTATTCTTCGTGTTTGTGTTTTTAGTGGTTGTAGAAAAGCACCTAAATCTAATGTCATCGAACACGGGGTTATTACTGCTACTGACCAAAGGAGGCGCTGCACTGTTAAAAAAATAGAGACGAGCAAAACCAGCTTTTCTGATGTAGTTTGACAAGACTAATCGATCTGCAAAAAATAATGAATGAATAACTGTTTTTATAATCAACATAATATTTAGGTTATTTATGACCCATTATTTGCTGCCTTTCTCTGGTCTTATTTTTGTAAATTAGATTAAGTCTTTGGGCTTTGTGACTGCTTGTTGTGCATAATTGAAGGCAGTAAGCCAGTAAATTGTGACATTTATACTGTTTTCTAACATTTTACAGACAGAATAATTAATTGATTAACTCTTTGCTTCTCAACTCAGGGTCAAGATCCCTACAAGGGGTTGCAGCTTTAATATAGAGAAATGATTGTGTTGGTAGGAAAAAAGAACTAAGACTAAACTGGTTTGGTTTCCTTTACACACGCAAAATACTACTACCAATAATAATAATAATAATAATACTTATGTTATTAAGGACACAGAAAGGTCCACAGTGACCACATGCAAACACACAATTGTCTATGTACAAAAATACAATATAATAAATAAATTGTTAATTATTATTTTTAATTAACACTACATAATACAAGTTCATATAAAAAGACAAAGTTCAATTAGCTGCACCCACAAACAAGCTGGAGAGCCAGTGGCCCCACAGTCTGCATGATACCACTTTCAATGGTATCATCTATTTCGTGATGGAGGGATGCAAAAAACTCTCAGAGGAGCTTGATTAAGGCGCTCTCCAGTGTATACCTTAATCCATTAGTTTGTAAATAAAAATATTACAAAGATAGGAAAGAGAGAAGGGCAGAGATACGATTGTACTCAGTAGACATCCATATATGCAAGTGCAGTATACGCAACTAAATTCCAGTACACAAAACTATGTTTATTTGTCTGACTTTTCTTCATTCTGTTCTGTTGGCATTAGTAATGTGGTGTAGACCCTTTGGGGCTTTAAAAACATTCAAATGGAACAATCTGAGAGGGGAAATCACTTGAAGATTGAACAGCTTACAGCCTGTAGACATGAAACCTATGATGAGGGATAACAAAGAAAATGTTTGCTTGATATTTTTTGTCACAAGAGGAAAAGGGTTGGGAAACACTGGGTTAATTATAAAGAACAGTTTTACTGATAATCAGTGATTATTAGTTCTAGCCTTTAACAGAAAGAAAGGGGGGAAGCGTCACCTGTCTGACAACGTTAAACTCATTTTTATAGACTTAAACACTTCTGAATTATTATGTTTGAGACAGACTAGTTTGTGTGACACAGTCATCACTCTCTGAGGGGAAGTATTACCCACAATATCAACTGTGTTTGACTCTTGTGTGTTAGAAAATCATGAAATAAGCTGACTATGAGCTATTTCTGTGTTGGTGACAGAAAATCACCTGATTTTTCTGACTTTTTACTTTCAGTTTGATGTCATTGCCTAAGCATGTTTAATCTCCCAGCCAGGCAACTGTTAAAACAATTGAAGAACCAAAAATTAGTTCACATTTTAACATTGAATATATGTGTTAATGTGTTTTGTTTGTGTGTTTAGCTTATTTCAAGGGTAAAAATGATGCCGGTCCTCCAAAGAAGAAGAAAAAGTGCAAAAAGAAGCATTTTAAAGAAAAGAGCACAGATGAGAAGACACCTGCTCCTAAATCCCAACAAAAGCCTCCGCCCTCCGCTGCAGCACAGAAAGGCCCAGCCACAGCAAAACCTAGTGTGTCCAAAACTCAGAGTATAAATGGATCTACAGCACAGGAACCTAAAGGTACAGTAAGTGTCATTACTCTGTCTTTCCTGTTATTAAGAATTGTTAGTGTTTCCTAAAGTCACCCATTTTGTCCTTTTTTCACTTAAAGGAGGAAATGCTGGGTCCAACTTCTCCACAGTAGATTTACTACGCAAGAGACTCCATGAAAAGATCGAAGAGTCCAGAGGGCAGGTACGCAGTGTTTTAAGATGCTGTAGACAATGAAAAACAACCACATGAAGGTTTATTTATACTCTCTCTGACAGTGACAGTGTATCCACTTGACCTGTACTAACGTAGTAAACTCCACCCACTGTGTCCTAAACTGGAACCAATGTATTTGAACTAACAAATGGGTCAGTATTTATTTAAAACATTGCATGTGAATGTTGAATTTTTACTTCTACTGCTCACTGATGTTATTCAAACAGATGCTAATCCTTATCCTGAGGGAGAGAGTTATGTGCTAAACTGGCCACAGAGTTGATTACAGAGTTTTGAGTTTCACTAACAAAGAAGCACTTGTCGGCAATGAAAATCTCAGGCTCCATCTAACAGTGCTGATTTAAATATGTAAAAGTATAGAAAAGCAAAATGCTGTACTTAAAGGTATACTACGCAGGATTCCCCTTTAGAAAAAACAATGGGCCTTTTTTACATATACCTGCTCAGGTTTTTTGTTAAATTTGTTCTGGAGAATGGTCCTAAAAAAGTCGATGTCAGATTCATGACGTGTTCTTAAACTGCACAATTTTTCGCACCTGTGTTAAATAATGATGAATCCCATTGTGCGTGTGAGTTGAAAGCATGTGCCTGTTGATCCCAATTTGCACTGGGAAATGCCCCACCAATCCTTGTAAAAGGTCATGAGACTGTAGGACTGTGTGCACACACGGAAACTGAAGAAGAAGAAGAAGAAAAGATGAGAGAATTAATTCAAGAATACCCAAACAAAACTCGAAAGAGGGTGCAGCTTGAATTTAAAAAAAAAAAATTTAAAAAAAGAAGAAGAAGGAAAAAAAACTTCAGTAGTTCCCGAGTAAAGTTACTTATGTAGAAAGTTAACACCAAACATGCTGCTTTTTGTAGCGTCAGGAGTAGACAGGCCCGCCTACAGAAATAGCTGCTGAAAAGATCCGGACTATTTCACGCAATTTTCTGTCAGTTAGTAATAACTTATTTTTGCCACTTCTTTGTAATTGTTTCTTCTGTCCGCCTGAACCGCTCATGATTTTTTCTAGCATGATCAATCACTAATGATTGGACGCCATGGTTCCCATCAACATAACTGATGTGAATTGACGTAGTTGTGTAGTGTTTGTTGACCATAGGCTTTTCGTAAAATGATCAAAATAATTGTTAAAGACATTACAAATTAGAAAATGTGTTTTAAACCCAATATTATGTAGAATTCAAGATAACACATTGAGCAGTTTTTTGCACAAACTCGTAGAAGTGTTCTTGAGGGTGCGTACATTCTTTTCTTGTCTAAGAACAAATCCTGAAGAAGAAAACGTTGAGCACAGCATGCAGAAGAGGTAGGGACTTTATATAAAGGTAGTGAACAGGTGTCAGACTGTAAGCAGCATGCACCCAAGAGGAAGCTACTAAAATCACAGACACAGTGTAGAAAAAATGCAAATATAGTGAGGCGAAATGACAATCAGGTTGGTCGGGTTTCACTTTTCTGGTGATACTGTTTACAGACACTGACAATTCTCTAGTAGTATACCTTTTAAAGACAATGAAGACAATGAAAGAAAACCATGTGGTAGTTTATTTATATGTTGTTGTAGTGACAGTTTATCCAACATTATCTAAACTGTACTGAGACAGTCAGCTGGAGCCATGCTATTTACACCAGTAAAACAATATTTACTCACGGTATTTCCTTAAAAGATTACATTTGAATGTTGAATGTGTACTTATACCACTCATTGATGGTAAACAAACACATGCAAATCCTAATCCTGAGGAAGCAAGTTCTGTGTTAACCTGGCCACAGCTCATTGTGAAGAATGCATGGTCCTGTTTTCGTTTCTTCCATAGTTCATAAGTGACTGCACTGAGACTAACGTGTTCCACTAATCTTTTATTAGGGAGCCCCAAAGGATGCCGAATCGGAGAAATTCCAGGCAAAGCGAGCAAAAAGAAAGCTTGAACGTGAGCGCAAGAAGAGGAAGAGGAAAGAGTTTCAGATGAAGAAACTGGCTGAAGAAAGTGGCAAAGAACAGCCCCAGCCACAGATAAAACAGGAAGCGGAGCGAGCCCCGGCTGCAAGCAAAAGAAACGAAACTGCCATCGTCTTCAACAAGGTAGAGACAGTGGACGAAGGATATGTAGACAAAATGCTGAAAAAGAAGAACAAGAAGCAGAGCGTTAAGGGCCAGATAACACCGCTGACAGGGAAGAACTACAAGCAGCTTCTCAGTCGCGTGGAGGCTCGCAAAGCGAAGCTGGCAAAGCTGAGGGAGACAGACGAGGGGAAGGCCCGAGAGATGGAGGAGAAGATAAAGTGGACCAACATTCTTTATAAGGCAGAGGGCATCAAAATCAAAGATGACGAAGACATGCTGCGCTCCTCGTTGAAGAAGAAGGAGAAGCACCGTGCTCAGAGGAAAAAGCAATGGAGTCAGCGTAGTGAGAATGTCATAGAGAAGATGCAGCAACGCCAGGACAAGAGACGAAAGAACCTCCAGAAACGTAAGCAAGTCAAAACAGAGAAGAAGAAGGACAGGGCGCACAAGAAAGGCAGAGTGCTGCCTGAGGACTTGAAAAAAGCAGCAGTGTAAAAGGAGGAGTGTGTGTTATGTGAAGATTTATCACAAGACAACAGAGACAATTTTTAAATGAGTAAATCAGTCTCTTTTTCACGGCCATATGATTTAATTACATGATATGAAATTGCTATGGCTGCTGCACATGCTGTACCTTCATTCCTGTCAAGGACTAATATGATGTGTGGTATAGTCAATAAAATGTGATCCATCATTATGACATGAAGGTTGACCTCTGTTGTGGAATGTATGTGTTTATTTTACCTACTGTCCAGCCTGTTGAGTGTCGTTTAAAAAATAATCTGTTTTAGACTTCTATCTTAAACAACACCGGTGGAACCCTGCTGCTGAGGCACTGCCAAAACTTTTGATTCATAAATGATTTGTAAGGCAGGGGACAGCTTAACCTGATTCCTTAAAAGTTTTCACTATAGTTTGGTGTGGTGATGCCAGCAGAGTGGAAATGTTTGATAAAATGCACAAATAATGACTGATTAGTAGACTGATTGACAGTGGAAAACCCATAGACTGTAAAAGTAATGAGCGTAGCTACCATGATGTCACCCATTGGTTAGTGGACTCCCGTTTTGAAGAGCCATGTAAAGCTGCAGACACATTATATTTGTAGGGTACACGACATGCCCCTACAAACTGAGCCAACCACCAGCACAAGACAAACCCACCATCCAAAGGTTATCTGAACCCTGCTACATGTAGCATGAATAAAAGCGAGTCCAGACATAGCAATAATCCACTTTATACTTGATCATACATGAAGACGTGATTCACCATACAATGAGATGTAATCTTTACCATTACCACCTCTCTTTTAACTTAATACTTCATAGCTAGCTAATCGCTAACACAGCATTTTTGTAGGGGCTTGGGCTTCTGGGGCAAGGGGCAAAGGGGGCTGTTCATGGACTGATGCATGGTGGACAAGTCGTAGCTAGTGGGCAGGTTACGTAGCTGCTCCAGCTGCAGCTATATGTACTCGGTTTTGGGACTTCGAGTTTGGCATTACAGCTGTTGTCATCCTGGGTCCAGCTGCTCAAAAAAATTTAATCTGGATCAGAATGGTCCTGATTTTGAAAACCCATGTTTTGCTATCCAGGATCAGCTAATCCATTTTACTTTTGTGCTGTTTTTTCAAAGCAACACTGAATTAGATCTCCCTGATCCAGATACAAACTTTTCAAGATTACCAAATCTGGATAAACACTGCTCTACATGGGACTGCATATCACAATGTAGGCAGTCTGCCGATGCAATTACCACTTATTGCCATAGGTACTGCCAAAGAGAACAGTAAGGAGATCTTTGAGGTTGTAACTTTAATTATACTTTTTTTTTATGAACAGCACATTTTCAAGATTTGATCAAATCTGATATCTGAAATCAGATCAGATTGAGGGTTAGATCTGACCAAGACACCAAGGACATTATCAGCAGACAGCCTGTCACTCAAAGCAGCCTGCCTTTACTTACGCACAACTCTAAGCCTTGATCAAATGTAAATGGGTGAGTCACATAAAAACACAGTTGTCCTGAAGCATATTAGCTATATAGACCAAAACTGTTTTCTGTGGCAGGCTGTAAACATGTTTATTTCTGCTGTAAAATTGGGCATTTTAACATGAATCTACAGGGATTGAATGGCTCCTACAGTCAGCTAGTGGTCAGTCAAGGAACTGCAGTTTTTGGCACTTCCGTGTCGGCTTCATTTTTCAGCCCTGGAGGTTGCCACTTTGGAAAAACTGGGACATATTGTTGAATTGTATTTGTTTTTCTACAGACATGTCTGGCTGTTAAACATCTGTTTTGTAAATGAATGAATGTCTCAGAATGAATTTCTTTGACCTAAAAGAAAGGGGAAAAATCGAGGTGTTGTCATTTATAGACTGTTATGAAATGTTTTTTCTGGTCCAGCCCACTTGAAATCAACTTGGGCTGTATGCAGTCCATGAACCAGAATGAGTTTGCCTGCTCTAAAAGTAGAAGGCTACGGCTACGCAGGTAACGTTGCTCATAGAACTAGAGTTACATCTGGTAACTGCCTGCTTACGTCTCGCTCCGCCCATACAAGACCCGTTCATGGTTTGTACACAATGATGACGAATTGCACCTGTATGGCAGGGTAAGTAACCTATTATTTGGTGTTGTGGGCTTGTAGCTAACATAGTTCAGAGCTCTATGATATAGTGGTTATACAAACATAAATTATGCTTCTGTTTTACTGTCCTTTCAGGTTATCATTATGGATCAGCCAGTATGTTTATTATGTTTTTGTGAAATTTCAGGCTTGGGTCATGCTGCAGCCATGCAGCTGCAATATTATTCAAAGTTGAGCTCTATGTTAGGATGGGAAGGACAGAGAAAGCAGCAGTTACTTCTGGAGTGTGCATGTGGAAAGACATCAGCAGGAAAGAAGTCAGACCAGCTCCATTGAGGGAAATCAGCTTCCACAAACCAAAGAGGCTAGGCAGGCAGCTTCCAGCAGCTTCAACATCAGCTAGGAAGAATAGTATCACACCCAGAGGCATGTAATAGTTGACAGAGCCTAGATAAGTTTCCTTTTGCCATAGTGCATTTAATTAATTCTCAAGATTTCTCCTCATTGTTTTGACACCATAATGTAGCCT